AGTCTAACTTTGATTGAAAAGAATGTCGATACACGATATAAATTCCGGGTTGTCACATGTTATATCGCATTTTTAACTGATCACTAACCATATAAAAAATAATAGAGATATAAAAGAATTTTAAAATCGTTTGAGACCATGCTAATTTTGTGAAACCGTGAGACCAAATCTAAAAATGATTTTAAAATGCAAAATAAAAGGAAAAATCCAAAAATTCTTTTTTTTAATTATTAATTTTGGAACTTTAATTACCTAAAAGAAATAAAAAAAAATTAAAAAAAATTACCGTTTTTTTGAAAAATACTTGAAATATTCTAATAGAATATTATACTGTAAATATTCTAATGTGATTTTTAGAATGTTTTGAATAGTCTACTAGATTTGTCAGATATATATAATATTCTAATATTCTACTAGAATATGTAAAAAAATGTATTTTTTTTATTATTATTTTTTGGTATTTTTTTTTGGAAAATTTAAATTCCGATAATAATATTTGAAAAAAAAATTTCGAAAATTTTCAATTATTTTGCATTTTAAAAATATTTTTTTTATTTACTAAATGAGTGGCTAGGTTCGCGTCTCACGGTCTCACAAAGTTAAACCGTCTCACATGAACCTAACCCTATATATATCGCATTTTTAACTGATCACTAACCATATAAAAAATAATAGAGATATAAAAATAAAAAATATGAATGGAGATAAAGATTTCTAAAAAGTTATTTTATATATAAATAATTATAAAATTATAAATTATTTTATATCATGTAACTTGCTTTGAAGCTGCATATTGACGCGTATAATGTTGAAGATTCAATAATTTATCTTTATCTACTCGTATTATCCCTACCATGTTCTTTCGATTAGTTTAAAATAGAAAATAATTATCTGTAAAACTGAAATAGTCTGAAATAGTTAATTAAATATTAAGTTGTCATGAAATATCAAAATCGGTATGCAGCTGAAATTTCATTATATAGACGTGCGACTTTATCCAATTTCCTTCTTTGTTTTCATAATTTCTATTCTGGGTCATCACCCTGACCTCATCCTTTTATGACGTTGCAGCGGCTTAACGACCGGTTCCCTCATTTTTCCATATAGTTCGATAATCGTGTAATTTCAATGTGTTTTAACTTTTAAGCATTATACAAATATAAATTTTTTTTTTTTTTTTTTTTTTGTTATCCTAAGTTAGCTGATAGGTGTAATCAATTAGTGACCTTACTTGATATTTGTATATTTAAACGGCCTAACATAAAAATATTATAGCGTTATCTAATTTGAGTTTGTTAGGTTTGGAAATATAGTTGGAAGCTGAAAATTAAAATGTAATGTTGTATCTTTTATTTGCTGTAATTTTTTTTTTGGCAAAATTAGATATAAGATTTTTTGAAACATGTAAAATTATATAAAAATGATATATAAAAAAACTCTTAATTGAAATATAAAATATAAAAGGTCTCAAAAGCTACTTAAAAAGATGCAAATTACTTATAACTATGAACCACAACAAATAAATTGATCCAAACAAAAATAATTGTAGTTATAATGTCTTTTGAGAAAAATAAAAGTTAGGTTTTTTTTCAAAAATTAAATATTCTCCATTACTAAAAGATTAACAATAAACTTAAAAAAAAAAAAAAAAAAACAGAAAATATTCAAAAATATTATGTATTTTGTTATATCAACCACACGAATTATGAAAATGATCTGATTCTTATTTTGATTTTATAAGTCATTTTTATTATTTTGTAAATATAAATCAAACACCTTTGAAATTGCATAAAGAGGACCCATAAAGGCGTTTTCTTTCACGAATTTTAAAGCTTTTGAAAACGGATTCAAACCATTTTTTAAGCTATGCGGGACATCTTCTTTCACCAATTGAAAACTTTTAAAATACATTTATCATTTTTCCAATTTAATATATCTATATATATATTATATATATATATATATATATATATATAGATATATATATATATATATATATATATATATATATATATATATCTAGAGGACGGTTCACTTGAGATTAAAAAAAAGTAGAGATCTTGAGATTCAACCTGAGCCATACATTTCTCATTTGCCGCTCTAACGTTCCAGTGTACCGACAACAACAGTGTATGAGTAATCATAAATGATTATACATATATGTCTGTTCACATACTGTGTAATCATATATGATTACACAGCTGGTGGCAGAAAATGTGGTGGTGACAAAGGTGGTTGTGATATAAGTGACAGTGGTGGTGTCGGCTGGTATCAGAGGTGGTGGTAATGATGGTGGCGGACAGGGACGGACGCAAGAATACATGGTAGGTGTTGCCGGGATGAATAGGTGTTGCCGATACATGAAAAATAGGTAGAAAAATTGAAAAATCGAAAAAAAATTCACTACGGCCATAAAAGTTAGGGGTTGCCGGTGCCACACCGGGAACCCCTTAGAACCGTCCTTGGTGGCGGAGGAGAAAGGAACGGGTGACTTAAAATATGTGGCTGAGGTTGAATCTCAAAATCTCTATTTTATTTTTAATCTCAACGGAACCTATCTCTCTCTCTCTCTGTATATATATATATATATATATATATATATATATATATATATATATATATATATATATATATATATATATATATATATATATATATATATAAACAAGAACATTGCTTATCTTCGACCTTCGTGACAATAGAAAACAATGTTATTTACTAGGGTGAAGTAATAAACGATAATGGAGTAAAGAAAACAATGATAGTAAAAGGATAATGGAGGGAATAAATGTTATTGGGGACGATATATTTACCAAGTGAAAACCAAATCGAGTATAATTACTAAGTTAAAACGACATATTTTAGAGGTTTAGTACCTAAGCTTAGGTGGGGCTATAATGTATATTCCTCATCCCTATATATATATATATATATATATATATATATATATATATATATATATATAAGTTTACTTAATTTGAACCTATATTGACAACCAATATACCATTTTTTCACTTCATTAAATATCAATAACTATTGTATTTATTCAAGTAAAGTTATAGAGTATAACTTATAAAATGTTAAATGTTATATGGATTTAATTTTTCTATATCATCAATGGAAATTATTTTCTAAATCATGATTGGTATATTTTAAATTGATTATGAATATAAGTGTTAGTTTTTATGTTTGTTCTTATTTATTTGGTGTTCGCAAGAACTTTGCATTAGACTTGACGTAACTTTGAATAATTTTGGTATATCATCAATGTAATTTGGTATGTATCTTTCAATTATATGAAATATCAAATAACGACATTTCATTACTGTTGTGATAATTTAGTTTATATATTGCATTTTTACTAATGTTAACGACCTTATTTTTTTCAAATAATCGTAACGCTTTTATTAATTGTACTTTTTTACAAATCCCTTGATATCTTAAAATTTTTTTTATCTTACTTTATGGTTTTTCAAAACTATGCTATTTCAAGATTGATCGTCTTAAATACGAAACTTTGTTCACTGATTTCGACCAAAAAGGGTTTCCCATGACCGAGATATGACATTTCAAAAACAGGGATAGATTAGGGAAAAATACTGAAATAAGTGCTTTGGCTTTTTAAATAAAAAAAACCACATACACACATTGCTATTAACTAAATATGTTAAAAACAAAATAGAAATTACAATGCACTTTGTATCTAGTGAACACAGTTACAACAACTCAAAAGAAATTTAGAAATTGCAATTCAAAACATTATAGATTAAAGTCAAAGTACATTAGTATTAACTAAATATGTTAAAAACCAAGAATTATGAGAAAATATATCAAATTAATAGCAATATAATATTGATAATTAAAAACACTGAAGGGTAAATGGTAGTTTTCAATCATCAACTACCGTGCAATCCAAACAATCTCAAGAAAATTTAATTACGTAAGACACACATACATACATACAGTTAATCAAAAGTCATTGTGATTTTCTCATGAGCTTTTTGATAAAACATGTAGAGTGCAACATCAAGTTCAAGGTAAAAAGACAAAAATAAAAGACTGGAAAACTAATATTAACATTTATAATCAAGATTATTCATGCATTCAAAGATCACAGTCAAATACAACATTAACGAGAATCAAAAAATCGAATACAATTAATAAAAATTAAGAACATCAAATTAAAGAAGGAGGATGACAAACGTGATGCTGCAAAGGGTGATGACGTTCAAACGTTATGCTGCAAAGAGTCTGAAGAAAACATAATCTACGAACAGCAGCACATGATTTATACATAACTTTCAACAATGATTATGAAAAGAATATCAAATTCCGAATTCTTTGATTCTTTGAAATTGAGCGACGATATCCCGTTTGAATGAGTTGAATACATTACTTTTATAAATGATGTTAATATCAAATCAGTTAGTCAAGCTTTTAAATTTAGTCGATATTAATTTAATTTAATTTATTTTAAGATAACATTATCAAAATAATCTATCATAATAAATGAAAATCATTTTGGCCAAATGTCATATCATTATTGCATTTGACACATGTCATTTTCTAATATTTTTTTATTTATTGTTTTTCTATTTGTCATTTTATGGTTTTTTTCCATTTTATTAAATTCTATATAATATTTAAAAATATAATAATTATAATAAATGTAATAATATATGCATATCAATTTAATTAATGTAACTTTCTTTTTAATTTTTAAGTTTTAACTTTAATCTATTTATTTAAATTATTTGTTTAAATTTAAAAAAAAAATAAAAAAGTTCCAAATAACAAATTAAACATTAGATTTTAATAATTTAATATTTTTTCTTTCTTCGTTGAAAATTCAAATTTCCTAAGTTTGTAGATCTTCATAATTTTTTTTAAGAAAGTAATATACGAATCTGACAACTTCGTATTTTAATATAATACAGATATCATTAATGTATTCCACTATATTTGTAATTTTCCGTTTCAAAAGACCAAAACAGCTTTCAAATTTGAAGCTCCGTTTCAAATATCAAATAGAGATGTTAATTCCAGGAAAAGCATCGGAACCTTCCGATCATACGCTTTTCCCTCAACAAACTTTTATGGTACTGGTACGTATATATTGCAATTGAAGGCGACCAGAACAATACTGTATACAGATTACGATTGGTAAACTGCCAACTTTTCATAATCTTCTTGGTCGAACCAACGGTAGGTTGCTGCAATTTGAAGGGAGAAATAAGTTGATTGATTTTGTTAGAATTTCACAGAATGGGAGGCTGTTTTTCGGACGTGAGCGGAGGAAAAGCAGCAGTCGGAGGAGTCCATAACCTACAACATCAAAGCGGTCCGAGTAGTAACGTCGCTGCCGCTTCCTCCTCTGGTACGGCTGAGAATGAAGCTGTCGATTTCTTCTTTCGTTCCAAAGGCCTTCAACCCCTCTTCACTCGAATTGAGGTATATATATGTTCGTAAATTAACTGATCGTGTTTTCTAAGTTCAAATTGCTTCTCGTTGAATGTAGTTTGGGGCATTGTTTGAAAACCTAACAGCGTAGCCGTTTTAGGCACACAACATCAAAACCTACAACTTCTTAAAGATAGTGCACCCAAACTTCTAGGGTTCGTGAGTGTTAAGTGTTGGAAAACAAGTTTAAGCAACTTTTTCCTTTCATCTGAAAGTAGGTTGCATATGGTCCATGGATTGTGAGTTGCATTCTATGGTTACACTCAGACCATGGCTACAAGCATGCCCAAGCATATACTGTACAATGGTTTTATCTGTCTTATTTTCTGTCAGGGAATTCGTATATGGTCAAATGCATGTAGTGGTTCTTAGCTAGCATGTTTATTCCATGGGCCATTTGATTACTACCACTCATTGTTAGGCATTATCATCCCATTCCCTTATATCACTTTGTTTTTATTCTTATATTATCTTATGTTCTCTACTATATCCTATTCATTAAGTGGAGTCAATGTAAAAAAAACAGTAACCAAGTGTAACAATTGTTCAATCTAGGTTACTCTAACTTTTTTCTTAAGTTTGACCACTCAACTTCCAATTTTGTTCCAATATTGTATTTTTCTATCTTTTTACTGCAAAACCGGTTATTTTGGGTTGCTATGTTGGGTCCATATTACCAAAGAGTGACTAAGTTTCACAGTTGTTCCACCTAGAATCACTAAAACTCTTTTTAGAGGTTCAACTACTCAACTTCCTATTTTATTCCACTATTTTGAATTCTTTTAAGAGTTTTAACCACTCATAAAGTCAAACTTGTAGTTGGGTAAACAGATTTAGAGCTTTTACTTTGGTACAATCTTTTTCCATAAAACATATCATTATGTCCTTGGGTTATTATGATCATTACAGGTTTCTTGTAATGTTTGTAGTGATATTGATGTTGTTTGTAGTGATTATTGTATTGATGTGCTCTAAACCTGTACTTAGTTATTCAAGACTTGGAGGCACACATTTTATTTATTTCTGTTTTGGCTTGGTTGCTTAATTCTTCATTATTTTCTTTTTTGTATGTATGAAATTCTGTGCTAGGAAAAGCATAAAAGTATAAAACATCGTTAGAGAAGATTTTCATAACACGTGATTCAGTTAATAGATTATTATGCCAACTTGAAGTTGACTCCTGTTGTCCTGTATTGCATGCAAGTCAACATCTCTTGGTCAACTCAAGTGGCTTTTAGTGGTTCTAACTATTTTGGTGGTCCTTTTTTGGGATTTAATGCAGGCTACAGTGGATGTTTTATTTGTTTGTTTGTTACTCTATAGCTTGACTAGGTTCCTTTTGTTTTCATATTCAAAAACCTACTGTATATAAGCACCTTTTTTTAAGTCAATCACTTTACTATAGCACAGTTGGCTATTCTATTAAATTTGGCATGTCACACTCTGCTGATCGAAATAATAAACCAATATTTTTGCAGTTGTCTTTATCAGCTTCAAAATTACGCGATCGTGACCTCATGTCAAAGGTACTATAACTAAGTCTTAAAATTAATAATATTTAAAAAATTTATGTATTGTTTTGATGCTAATCCTCTTCTTTGTAGAGTGACCCTATGGCAGTAGTATATGCCCAGAAAAGAAATGGAACTCTGGAGGAACTTGGAAGAACAGAAGTGATCATGAACAGCTTAGATCCCATGTGGATTCAGAAAATAAATGTTTTATTTCACTTTGAGATTGTTCAGCCATTGATGTAAGCATTCTACTTATTTTGTTTAGTTTTTTTAGAATCTATTAGACCTCATTGAAGATTTTGTAAATTCTCTGCAAATATGTTGTTTCTTTTTGCAGCTTTCAGGTGTATGATGTGGATTCAAAGTATCATAATTTGTCAACAAAGGTGCATATAACTTCTCTTTTTACAGCATTTTACTTTCATTTATTCCCATTACATCATTATCCTTTAAATAATCTACCTAATCATAGCAATGTCATTCAAATGCAAAGCAAATTTCAGTATTTCACAGCTATATCTAGTAAGAAAAAAAAAACTTAAAGTACAATGCTATAATGGGGTAGATATATTTGAAGTACAATACCTTGATAAGAAAAAATTTTTAAGTACAATGTTGTAGTAGGAGGAAACATAAGTAGGATGCTATAAATTATAAATAAATTTAAGTACATTGCTATTTCTTGCATTTATTCCTATTACATATCATCCTTGACTTTTGTATTTGTTACACAGGTGTTGAAACTAAATGAACAAGATTTTCTTGGAGAAGCCACCTGTCTTTTATCAGAGGTAAGATTTTTTGCAGTTTTGTAATAAAGCAAAAAGCAAATACTGGTATTAAAGCAGAAAGCAGATACTAGAAATAAAACAGAAGAGCATAAAGCAGATACTAACAATAAAGCATAAAGCAGATACTAGAAATAAAGCAGAAAGCAGATACTAACAATAAAGCTTGATTAAAACTAATTCATGTTACTTTAATCAATTGCAGATCATGACTCTTAGAAGCCGAAGTATGACCTTAAAACTACATGGTAAAGAAGGGCATATTGGGGATTTTGGTTCAATAACTGTTCATGCAGAGGAAACCATTGATTCCAAAATTGCTACTGAGATGAGACTCCGATGTTCAAACTTGGATAACAAGGACTTGTTCTCCAAAAGTGTAATCACTCTTAACAATTCTGAAATAAATATATAATCATTGTCAATTTTGTTTTTGTTTTTTTTTTTTTAAATTTTTTTCTAAATCTCTTATTTTACCACTTCAGGATCCATTCTTAAGAATCTCTAGAGTTGTTGAGTCTGGAAACCCTGTTCCAATTTGCAAAACAGAAGTTGTGAACAACAATTTGGATCCAGTGTGGAAGCCCTTATGTATAACTTTGCAGCAATATACTAGCAAGGTGAACCTCTTTACTCCTCACTACACATTTTTTTGTATTTTATTAAATATAAGAAATAGCACTGTACTTTTATTATAAAATATTACTTACATTTCTTCCAATTACAACATTTTACTATGAAAAATATAAACAATGTCATCGAATAGAACTGTGTAGATTTTTCAAAGTATAATGTCTTGATAAGAAAAAATGGAAAGTTAAATGCTATATTTGTGTAATTATTTCCAACTGTTTTTTTTTTTTTTTTTTTTTTTTTTTTTTAATTTACAGGCGAACCCTTTAGTTATAGAGTGTTTTGACTTCAATAGCAGTGGCAACCATACACTAATTGGGTAATTATTTAATTATTTAAACACAAAAAAGAGGCTGTTTTATTTTATTAACTAAAAATGACTTATTGACACATACAGAACATAAATGTCATCTTTTATTGTTGACAGAAAACTTCAGACATCAATTGAGGGTTTGGAACTGCTTTACAAAGAAAAAATAGGGGCAAATTTGGTAATTCCATCTTCTCGTCACCAAGAACGTGAAAAGGTATGTTGTATTCATTTATCATTCTATTGTACTACAGTTATCATTTTCTGCAATTTTTATAAGACTATGAGAAAAAGATGGGAATACATATTTTGCCATTAATGATGCATTATAACTAAAAAATTGCATCTACATGTTGTAGATTCTCAAGGGCAAACTTTTTGTGGATGGATTTATCGAGAAGCAAATTTATAGTTTTCTTGATTATATTTCTAGCGGATTTGAGCTTAACTTCATGGTTGCTATTGATTTTACTGGTAAGTTTGCTTAAATTAATCTTTTTATTTTTCTTTCATAATTTAAATAAAGTAAAATGTGATATTTACTTGATAACAATTTCCAACTCTTGACAGCTTCAAACGGAGATCCTCGAAGGCCGGATTCATTGCATTACATTGATCCTTCTGGTCGCTTAAATGCATATCAGCAAGTGAGTAAATGACCATTTTACCCTTACGTGAATGTCCATGTAGTTGGTAATATTAATATAAATATATAATTATGTTTTGTGATTGATTACAGGCTATTATGGATGTTGGGGAAGTGATACAAGTTTATGATTCAGATAAAAAGTTTCCTGCTTGGGGTTTTGGTGGAAGAATGTATAATGGCCCTGTTTCTCATTGTTTCAACCTCAGTGGAAACACCGAGGTCTGTAACTGTGACTATTTCGATCTCTTGTATGTGCAAAAAGACGTAATTGCCCTCAAAATGCATCCGTGTTTTGTAGGTTGAAGGAGTACAAGGAATAATGGCTGCTTATCAAAATGCATTGCATACCGTGTCTCTTCATGGGCCCACTTTATTTGGTCATGTAGTAAATCAGGCTGCACAAATTGCTGCTCAGTCCCTCTCACAAAGTTCCAGCAAGTACTTTGTGTTGCTAATTATAACGGTAAAACAATTTTTATATAATATAATATTTTCTTATGATATATAAAAATTTTATGCTTTTTTTAGGATGGAGCTCTTACTGATTTGCAAGAAACTAAAGACGCACTCGTTAGGGCCTCTGATCTACCCCTCTCGATTTTAATTGTTGGAGTGGGTAATGCTGATTTTGGAGCAATGGAGGTAAATACTAAATACATTGGGCCCACATAATACAACAGAACAGGTTATACTGTGTTTGACATACATTGGACTGATGTCAATGAGATAAAAAAAATGGTAACTTTTTGTCCCGTCAAAAAAGGTGGGATAGGGACTCGCTTTCGTATCTCTCGTCTGTGCAAAAGACGAGAATGCCCTCGTCCTCATCGAAAATAGCCCTAGAAATCTTGTATAGTCCGGTCCAGTCTCGTCTGTGACGAGACTGGACTAGACGGGATTCGACAAGCTTTCTAGGGCTATTTCAATGATGACAAGGGCATTCTTGTCTTTTGCATAGATGAGAGAAACAAAAAGGGAGTCCCTATGCCACCTTTTTGGACGAGACAAAAAGTTACCATTTTTTGTCTCGTTGACATCAGTCCAATGCATGTCAAACACTGTACAACCTGTTCTATCATGTCGTGTAGCTCTTATCATTCATTGACAGTAATTGTGTGATTTGAAACCCTAACAATGTGATGCAACAGATTCTGGATGCTGATAATGGACAACGATTGGAGAGCTCAACTGGAAGAATTGCTACTCGCGATATTGTTCAGTTTGTTCCCATACGAGATGTACATCGTAAGTAATAAATAAACAATTCTCCATGTTCATTTTTTTTTTGTTTCCCATTAAGTGTTGTCTGAATAAATAATTGTGTTTGTAAATATTTGAAAAAATGACAAGCAACTTAAGTCTGACCTAATTAAATTCATGGGAATATTATTGTGTAGGTGGAGATATATCCATGGTGCAGGGTTTATTGGAAGAGCTACCAGGGCAATTCTTGACATACATGAGGAGTAAAGGTGTGAAGCCACTCAACTTTGATGGAAACCAAGTTCCCATTCCACCAGATCTGTTATTCACGTGAAATCTTGTTAATATCAAACCTCTTTCGTACAGTAAACCCTAAGTAAATGAAAGTCTCGGTTAATATGCATATTTTTAGGTACAAAACATTGAAAATTGTTTTGCAATCGGTTAGATATGTTTCTTTAAAAAGGTTATTCTTTGAGTTGACCCATCATATGAGATGGAAATCTGGTATATACTATATAGCTACCCATTAGGTGGCTGAACTAGAGGGAGGTCACCACCTGATATCGCTGAACTAGAAGTCATGGTTCAAACGAAGAAAAGTAAAAAGGGAATGAGAAAGAAAAGAATAATTTGTAAAAGTGGCTTCATTTTTTAGACCTTTTCCGAAAATGGGTAGGCTAACAATATTACAAAAGAAACACATGGTCAGGACATTGGAGAAATGTCATTCTTTATTAAATATCAAAATATCATATTTACCCAACTAAATTTTTAAATATCATATTTATCCTTCATAAAATTTTTAAATATCATAAATGTCATTCTTAAACATCAAAATATCATATATGCGCTTCTTAAATATCATATGTCTTAAAAATATCTTCCATCTACAACATGACAGAATTCAACAATAACAAAAACTAAGGAATCAATGTATACATTCCATGGAGAAGACGGAAAATGAAATATTTTGTTTGTCAAATGAGCGATATTTCAATAATTTAGAAGTAAGCATTCCATTATTATAGGCGTAGCGATAATATGGTTAAAATTTTTAATTATTATAATAATTAAATGATTACAAACAGTTTATGACATGCAAGATTTTCTGTCACGAAACTATTTTGTATATGATTTCGGTTAAGCTATTTTCCATTATTTTTTATAAATAGCCTTTAATAAATAAGTCTAGTTGTAACATATTTTGCAAAAATAGTATAATATCTTGGATTATAACCCATCCAAAAATAATGGCAACAAGTTTACGACTATTTTACTAAGATTAATATTTTTAGTAAAATATTCAAACTTTGTGTTTATGTTTAACATTCTTTTTACCTCTTTTTGTAAGTTGTAACACAAGATACGTTGTTTTAGTTGACTTAAGTGTGTCGCGATTTTTATAACACCAAAAATATTAAACTCGATATTTTACCTAAATATCAGTGTAGTTTAATACAAGAAGAGTATGTATGTATCCAAAAGTAAACATGCATGAATATTCATACCTACTTATGACTTTGAAAATTTTAAGAGAACAACTCATGTTCACCCAGTTTTATATGACACATATGTTAGTAAGCATGTTCATCACGTTTTGTATGAGATAATAACCTTTTTAAACAAGTATTTGTTCCATATTCAACACACAACTAAGAAGCATGCATTTATCCAATGGTTAAACATAATCTAGCAAACATGAAGCTTGTAAATCACGAGTTTATGATGTTTTAGCATGAGATAATCAACATTTCAAGCACAAATCGTTACATAAACACATAGGTGCATGCAAATATCCAATGGTTAACCGGAAATGGACTTGTATTCCCCCCAAAAAAGTATGAAAAACACGAAAATAGTAGGGTATGAAGCTGACCTTGTGGATTTCGTGAGTTGTAGGGAGAAGAAGAGAGAAGTTTTTTAGCCTAGCCTTGAAGATCACTCGAAAATGGTTGATGTGCTAAGAGGCTACACACGAATTGGTGTGTGTAAATGGAATGATTTTAACATTAACATGTATGTGAGCACTAGAGTTTTACAAGAACTTACCAATTTCTTGTGAGTTGTTTGAAGAGAAAACCCCTTTGAAGATGATGCACCCACACGAAATGAGAGGGAGAGATGAGAGAATTTTTGAGTGAAAGAAAATGTTTGATGTGTGTGTATGGTGGGGGTTTCGGCCGAGAATAAGAGGGAGGAAGAAAAAGGTGGTGGCTTTGATTCATGGTGGGTATTCTTGTGTAGTATATGGGTGCATGGGGGATAAAAGTGTGCATGGTGTTGATGTATGGTGGGTAACTCAAGGTAAAGTTATGAGGTGGCAAGATTTTTGGTTTTATTTTCTCTTTTTTTTTGTCTCATCCTCAACCGATTTCTATGGGGTTTGCGTCCTTAAAGGCTTCTCAAGGGGTTTTCGGTTTTAAGGGTGGCCGAAAACACTCTATTTCCTTCAAGAGTTTACATTTTGGAGAGTATGAATGGCTTGTGGGCTTAAATTGGGTCCCATAATGGTTTTCGGCCCAATAAGGCCCAAAGGAATGGGTTTTCGACCTATAGTGTGTTGGGCCGAGAATTCTTGGGCCAAGGCCCAAAATTGATTGGGCTTAGCTATTGGATCAAGTTTTGGACCTGTATGAGGCTATTTCAACTTGCTTCACAAGGCATGCACGTATGTATTCAAATAACATTGTAGTTTGAATTTCACTAATTTGATGTTATAAAGTTACATAGAGGAAATTTTTGTATATGAAACACCATCTCAACCCTAAATTTGCTAGTTGTGACATGGACTTTCCAAACTTACCTTTTATCAACTTAATGAGGTGAAAAAAGCAAATCATCTTCCAATGCCTTACCTTACCATTATGGTAGTATTTGACATCCTATATATAGAGGTTTTCCTTATTTGCATGTTGAGAAGTAATCAGTTTTCTTTAATGTTTTGAACACTACACATCCTTTATCATCTGATCCTGGAGATCTAGATGATCATATAAATAGAATTATGAATTCTGACAAGGGCCCAAAAATCATCTTTAAGGTTGTAACATGATTTAGGTCTAACAAGGTGTAACACCTTCTTTTCATGAAATTATTATTAAAGGGTTTGAAAAATAATAATAAATAAATAAATAACAATAATAATAATTAAAATAAGTTTTAATACATCAATTTAATTGTCATAAATAGGATATATTAGTTTAGGGACCAAATGATAAATTTAAGAAATTAGAATTGTACGTCATATGAGTTATGGGGGTGTATTGGTCGCATGCAAGTTTCTGAGGGATTAAGGTCCCGTTTGATAGACATCTTTCTAAGTTCAAATAGATCTTTCTAGCTGAATGGACCGGAAAGACTGTTTGATTTGCACAAAAAACGGTAAGATATGTCTTTTCCAGAAAGCCACAAAACCATATCTTTCTGGCCGAATGGAAGGGAAAGACAATTGTGCCCCAAACCTCGCTTCTTTCTTTCCTGGATTATTAATATTTTTTAATTTATTTTTTATTGTAGGTAACTCGACGAGTTGGGTCGACTGGGAGTTGATTTTGACTTTGACCAGTGATAAAATGGTTATTTTACCCTAAGAAGAGTTAGCAGATTTTTGATTAAGTGTTATTGTGAAATTGATAGTCGGGGATTCGTTGGAGCAGTCGTCAGAGATTCCTCACACGAGATTTCACAGCTAGCATTCGATGTGGGTTTTCCTTCGGTAGGAACGGGTCGAAGGCACCAATGCCGGCCCGTTTATGTATGTTAGCGTATACCAGACTTCAGTCCGATGATGGGGGTAGCCCGATGCAGATTATGTGTTCCAAACTTCGGTCCGATGTCGGGGCGGTCTCGAGAAGTGTTTATGTATGCGTGATGTCTTTGTGATTCATGCATGTTATATGTTATGTGTTCCGGGCTTAGGTCCGATGTCGGGGCAAGCCCGATGTATGTTAGCTTATATGTTATGTGTTATGTGTTCCGGGCTTCGGTCCGATGTCGGGCAAGCCAGATGAATATTATATGCTTATGTTATGTGCTTATGATATATGATATGCCGGGGTAAGCCCGATGTCGGGCAGGAGCCCAATGTCGGGTAAGCCGATGTCGGGTTCGTCCCGATGCAGCTGGGCGGAGTCCCACAGTTTATGTTATATGTTATGTGTATGGTATGTGCTAGTTTGGGGGAGCTTACTAAGCTTCGTGCTTACAGTTTTCAGTTTTGGTTTCAGGTACTTTTGCTAGCAAAGGGAAGGCACCGGGATGATCGCATGGCACACACCACCGCTTCTAGCCTGGGATATTTACTCTAATATTTGATATGATATTTTGATATGTTGACAGATGTTATGACATTTTTTAGATACATGGTTTATGACTTTTATATGATGATGATATTTATGGTTTTATAAATGATTTAAAAACGAAATTTTTGGACCGTATTTTTTGGATGTTTCAGCAGAGAGGGAGGAGTTCACCTAGCTCTCGATAGTAGCGTTGTTAAGATTTTGCTTGCTAGAATCAGATGAGTCTTCTCACTATACTATGTAGGTTACTAGATTGTCTTTGTGACTTTTGCATGAAAGACGGTGGCTGGATCACAACACCTGTATGAAAGACTGTGGTTAGATCACACCTGTATGAAAGACTGTGGTTGGATCACAACACTTGTATGGAAGAATATGTTGGATAAGGTGTCTAAGTCCATAACTTATTTGGTATATACTTGACCCGACCCGGCATGGTCCATTTGGGTTGCACTTCACCCAAACTGTTTATGGATAATTTTATGAGAATTGTATACTTACGATTTATTAATATATATTATAAGTTATAATATATTAATATAAAGTCATGTTATTTAATTAGTTTTAATCTTGAATTAATTATGAATTAATTTAGTGATTAAAAGGAAGACTAATTAAATCATGGGCTATTATATTTATATGGTGTGGGCTAATACTCATTTGTTAATGGGCTAAGCTTATGTGGAAGTCCATGGATGATCCATGGAGCTTTTAACCCATGGATCCTTGGAAAGGAAAAGACATGGGTTATTAGGGTTTCACCCTAACCATGCACACTATATAAACAAGCTCATGTTGCATGAAATAACACCCTAGTGTGTGTGTAATAGTGGTGGCCGATTTCTAAGTGTTAGTATACTCTCTCATACATTTTCCAAGTTTGTGGTGATTTGTGATTTCCATTTGAGGCATTCACATTATTGGTGCTCGGCTCTCAAACTCCAAGGAATCAGCAATCAACAAAAGGTATGTAATTCATCTAGTTCTTTTATGTTTAAAAGTACCCATGCCATGCTAGATAGGTTATAAACCTTGGAAATTAATATTTTGCATGTACCTTAGACAAACATAGATCCAAGGTTTATTAGGGTTGCATGTACACTTAGGAAGTGTTAGAATGCTCAAAACCTAACAGTGGTATCAG